CAGGCTCAATTAAGCCTTGCTGAGGTAGAGAACTAAAACAATGGGAATTGTGGGTGTACACAGAGGCCCATTCTGATAACAGAACTTTAGTGAGTGCGTGCGAGTGTGTGTGTGTGTGTGTGTGTGTGTGTGTGTGTTACAGCCGGATAAAAACAATAACAACAGGGCAGGACTTTCCACCAGTTTACTGAGCTAATGCTACTGGCTGGCGCACAGCATCCGATACTCTGTCAGAAGCTTTTTCAGATTCTCTTGATCCATGAGGTGCTTTGGGGAAAATAAACCACAAAGAATAGATTTACAGACAGTGACCCTTTTCTGACAGGGAAAGATTGAGTGAGAGAAAGAGAGGACATAGAAAAGGACGGTCAGTGTGCTATGACAAATGATTGGCACAATAACAAGCTGTTGAGTTGGAAAAAGACTATAGCACATTCTGGACAATGAACTTGAGAAGGAAAAGGAAGTTAGATTTCGCCTGGGTGTGAATGATACCACAAAAATGAGATCATTTGATTGTAAAAATCACATAATTGATGCAAATCAGCTGTGGACACATTAAAGTATTACACAAGAGTCAAATATTTTAACGCCACACTAGTCAATGCCTGGAAAGGTGTGAAATAATATTATAAAGTAACCAGCAAAATCCTCTAAAGAGGTTGTAAATAGCGCAGGTTTTGACTGAAATTCCACTAAGGCGGCAAAGCCAGGACCATTTTCATTTCATGTTGTTTTTCCTGCAAATCCCCCCTGTGTTTTTCAAACCCTCAAGCCACCTTTCCAAATTCTTCCAGGCTCAGGAGAGAAACCTAGAGCCAAGAATAAGCGGAGAAAGAATGAGCGTATATATTTTGTAGGTACTCAAAAGCAAGCGCACTCAATGGGTAGTACTGAGAGCAGTTGGACAATATGACTGAAACACACCTCCACTGAAGCCGGGGTCAGCACAATCATCGTTTCAGGAAACAATCATCATATTTGAGGGGTTTTGTTTAGTTTGGCAGCCGGGTGAAGAAAAGAAATTTTAGCACAACCTGACGAGTATTACACCCAGTGGAGGCCTCAAGCCGTCTGCTGCCTCAGAGGCCGAGCAAACACACAGGAGGTTGAACTTCCTGCCAGAACCAAAATAAAGCTTTATGTGTGGTTACATTTCAGATGATTCAGTTATAAACATGCACACTATTGCTGAACAGTTTTGGGTAGTGTATTTCTTTTTTTTTTTGGTAGCTGAATTTAAGTTCATGAGCATAAGAGATGTCTTCCCAATCCTGAAGCAACATGAAACCCTGAAATCTACCAACCCTGAACTTTCAAACAATCTTTATGCATTATGAAGAACGTATTATGTTCAGGGTACAAAAAAGATGAATCACAGGTTTGTAGTTTTAAGTTACAAGTTATAAGTGCGTAATGTAAAATATAAAATATATGGTCACAAGTGGGAAAAAAAAGTACCTGGTAAATTCATGATCGTAAGAAATACAGGACATCCGTTTAAGTTGTAAGATACTTATTAAGTGCTATTTTAAAGTTTAGAATTCACTCACTGGCCACTCACCAATGCATTTAGGCATGTAGTCAAGACAATCTGCTGCAGTTGAAACCGAGCATCAGAATGGGGGGAAATGGTGATTTCAGAAACTGCTAATCTTTTTGTCATGCACAACCATCTCTTGGGTTTACAGAGAATGGTCAGAAAAAGACAAAATATCCAGTTAGCGGCAGTTTTGTAGACGCAAAAGTCTTGACAGAGGTCAGAGGAGAATGGCTTGACTGGTTTGAGCTGATAGAAAGGCAACAGTAACTCAAACAATCACTCGTTACAATCGAGGTATGCAGAAGAGCATCTCTGAATGCACAACACAACCAACCTTGAGGCGGATGGGCTACAGCAGCAGAAGACCACACTGGGTTCCACTCCTGCACAGGAAACTAAGGCTATAATTCACACAGGCTCACCAAAATTGGACAACAGAAGAGTGTAAAGACATTGCCTGGTCTGATGAGTCTCCATTTCAGCTGCAACATTTGGATGGTAGCATCAGAATTTGGCGTAGATCCATTCTGTCTTGTATCAATGGTTCAGGATGGTGGCGGTGAGGTGTAATGGTGTTGGGGGATATTTTCTTGGCACACTTTGGGCTCATTAGTATCAATTGAGCATTTTGTCAATGCCAGAGCCTACCAGAGTATTGTTGCTGACCATGTCCATCCCTTTATGACCACAGTGTACTCATCTTCTTATGGCTACTTCCGCTAAGATAACACACCATGAATCATCTCAGACTGGTTTCTTGAACATGACATTGAGTTCACTGTACTCAAAAGGCCTTTACAGTCACCTTTGGTATGTGGTGGAATAGGAGATTCGCATCATGGAACAGTGCAGCCGACAAATCTGCAACAACTGTGTGATGCTATAATGTCAATATAGACCAAAATCACTGAAATATTTCCAGTACCTTGTTGAATTTATGCCATGTGTTAAGGCAGTTCTGAAGGCAAAAGGGGTTCCAACCCTTTACCAGTAAGTGTACCTAATAAAATGGCCGGTGAGTGTAAATAAATAAAATAAAATCACAATTATGAGTAAATTATGCATGCCGCAACAAAGCAATACACAACTGTAAGAAATAAATCTGTAATTTTAGGAAAACTTGGAATTTTTAGATAATTTCACATTGTAAGATATGAAATATCATGGTAAAATATAAAGTCACAAATACAAAGAAATTATGCCTCAATCACAATAAAAAGGTGTATAATAATAAGAAAAATCAAGTAAAAATTTATAAGTTATGAGGTCGCAATTACGGGAATAATTACACAACTATATTTTATCTAAAAATCTAACATTTTCTTCAGACTTATACTTTTTAAAATATACAAGAATTAAATCACCACATTAAATTTTACTATCATTTCAATGATGACAAAAGGGCAAATCCTAATGGTTTAAAAGCATAGTAGCAAACTACAATACTGTAAATGACAGTTAATAAGCATTTTGAGACTGAACTGTCATCGTTTCAAGCACTGTGATCCTTTAACATGTCTTTTAAAATATCATCAAATGATTCTTAGTTTTAAAAGTGCCTGGCGAATTATATTTTTATTTTGAAATAAACTACTGTTACACCGAACAGCATTTTATAGCAGGTGTTTTGTTTTTGTAAACAATGGCACAAACTTATTGCCATAATTATTTGTTGTGCAGAAAAAAGAAACACAAGACACATTCTGATGAATGGAAAACAAATGATTGAACATCTCTTCAAATAATAATTAATATTAATAACTTTTGACACTGTTTGTTAAATCAGACTTTAAGTGTCAAAAAAATAAAATATGAGCCTTACCAAAACACATGCTCTCACTTCCTTTCAAAATTGTTCATACATCCCTGCTTAGAAAAACACACACACACACAATACAGAAATATATTTTTATAAGGAACTGCACATCCTATTAAAATCTAGTTATGAGCTGAGCAAACCAACTATACAGAAATGACAACTATACAAAAAAAGAATAAAAAATTGATTTCTGATATTATTTAAACTAACCTCACACCTCTACAGACAGGTTGATTGTTTTGACAGATACAAGGACAAAAGACATTTAGCAATCAAGATCCTCTCTGGCTGAGATTTTCTCTGTGAAAATGCATTAGGGTTTTATCAAACACTCATAAAATTGTCATTCAATCAATCTTTTGCCCATTTTAGGGAGCTAATGCAACTGAAGTTACATCTCAAATCAGATGTTTGAAAGGTGGCAGTGTTGTTCTCTGGCTCTAGGTGAAAGTGGTAAGGTTAAGAGAAAATTTCTACGCTATAATCTTTGACCTGTGACCTCATTAAGTTGAGTGGTAAAACATTACGAGAGCTAACCAGGACTCCTGGGACACTTCACACTCTTTCATCTTCTCCCATTAGAGCTTTCTTCTGAGTAGTACTTGTCAAAGGATACAGGCTCGAATCACTCATTTCCTCTTTGTTTGCCAACACACTCCACCTTTATTTCCATTAACTCACTATCGGTTTCCTTCCCTCCCCAACAAAGTGCTAAAGGTCTTCACCTTTCCCATGTCATCATTCATTCATCCACTACAATAAGCATAAAACTAGTTATTGTGAGATGAAACGTAAAGCAAGTCAGTCTAACACGACAGGCAGTTTCACTCCCCTTTATTAGGTACACCTTGCCCATTTTGCCATCTTTGAGGCAGGGATTAAACAAGATGTTAGAAACAATCCTTAAAACATCAAAAAGTTGCGGCAGATGTATTGGCTACACATCCATGACACGAAATCTCAACTAATTTGAAAGCTTTTTAACAATACATGTTACCTGGTTTAATTTATACATGACAATTGGGAACATTGTGGTTATAAATTGATGGACATAGTTAGCAACTTGCACAAGAGGTGGTTTAGTCAGTACTAAGAACTCAAACTAATAATGCCAAGTAAACTTTTCTTACAGTATTACACCACAACATAACTAAACCATTGATAACAGTCAGGGTGGATTCATGCTTTCATGTTATTTTTACCACATCTCTTGTCTGAGATCAGACAAGGCAACTTTTTTCCAAACTTTTGCCAAGTTTGAATTTTAGGCAGTTAGTTTGTTGTTCTTAGTCGACATGGGTGTAACCTATCTGCTGATTTGTTTCTATAGACTATTTTGAGGCATGTAAACAAAAACAATGGTCCCAATATATTTCTTGTTTTACATTTTTAATTTCTATAGCTTCCGAAAATATAGCTATATTCATGGCAAAACCATATAATAAATATACAATTATATAATCATATAATTATATCAGTTTCTTAAACATACATTATAAAAACAAACAAAACAAAAAAAAAAAACATAAAATTTCACTTAAAATATTTCCCGAATAAAAACGTTCTCTAACATCATTTAAAATAAACATTCTATTAAAATACAATTTATCATCAAAATATTCTTACACAAGTCACAAATAGGTTTTTCTTCCCCTTTTAATAAACATGCGTGTGTAAGTCTTGAGTGTCCAATTCTACATCTCGTATGTACAACCTGGTCATGTCTATTTTCAAAGTCATAATTATTTCTTTCATTCTTTCAAATGGATTCACTTCATACAATTTGTTATACCAATATTCATCCCATTCCATTTGCCATTTCTTATTAATATACAGATTTAAAATGGGTTTAACATCAGATACAGGTATTTTACATTCTGTAATCTCCAACTGTAGGGCTTCCTTAGCTGCTTTATCTGCACATTCATTTCCAATGAATCCCATATGTCCAGGTATCCAGCAGAATATAATACCAAAGTCTTTTTTCATTAAAAGGTCCACTTTTTCGGTTATACTAAAAATTATAGGATGATCAGTTTTCATTGATTAAAATGCTTGTAAACAGCTTTTTTTTCTATTAGTAACAGAGCTAAAAACAGTGCACAAGCTTTAGCTGTGAATATAGAGCTTTGTCCGGGAACACTGTTTTTGAAAAACTCTGAACCAATCACTGCTGCAGCATATACTCGTCCATCTGACTTTGAACCATCTGTATACACTGGTAAGTTGGTAGATTGCATTGCATATTTATAAATTCTTCCTAGTAAACATTTGGGTGGATTTACCTTTTTTAAACTGGGACAGGTGCATTATAATAGATGGCTTTGTAATATACTAAGGTGGTAAGCTTCCAAAAATCCAAAAAGAGCCACATATTGATAAATAATGTTATGATAGCTATTTTAACATTAAGTTATGACTGAAGTGCTTCTTGTTACAGTTGTAAGAAGTTTGACAACAAGCAGAAACTATTCATGGGCCAATCACATCACCAAATTAAAATGGTCTATAGCTCATCTGCTTCAAGGTTTTCAAGCTGTGCATTCAAAGATGCTCTTCTGCAGACATTGAATGCAACTAATGTTTTTTTGTTACTATAGCCTTTCTATCATCAACCACATTCATAGCACTTAAAGGATTAATTCATCCAAAAATGTATATTCTGATATTAATTACTCACCCTCGTGTTGTTCAATTAAGTAAGACATTTGTTCATCCTCAGAACACAAATCAAGATATTTTAGAAAAAATCCAAGATCTCTCTGACCTTCCATAGACAGCAATGGTCCCGAGACGTTCAAAGTTCAGGAAAAAAACCAAATTTGTAGTCAAAACATGCAATGTGCATTTAATTGTTCAACTATACTAAGCTCCCAGAGAAAACTAGTGAAGGTCTGAAAACTAGTGAAGGTGTCAGTGGACTGGGACGACTAGAGTGAGTAATTTATAACAGAGTAACTAACTAATAACAGTTCTGTACACTAACACTTTAATTCAACTATCTTCCCCATGCCGATGCTCAGTTTTACCTACAGCAAATCGCTTTGACCAGTCCAATATGCACAGAGTTGCTGCCATTTCATTGATAGATTAAGTATTTTTAATATCCCAATCGAGCCAGATATGTTCATGGTGTAAGAAAGAAACAATTAAATAAAATTCTGAGAAAGCCATAATTGCAACAAATAAATTATATTGTATTAATTATAAAATACTCAGGAACGTATATTTAGGAATGAAGTTAAAAATAAAAGGCCTAAGAATAAAACAAACAGTGATGAACTGATTGTAATTATTTTGTTTTAATATTTTATAAAAACATTTATGTACAGTAGTTTATACTTCTTGTACTTCTCAAAATCTTGACACTGACATGACAACCTGACTTGATTTCTTTTTTTACATAAAGTTATGGGGCCACTGTATTAGTATGATGGAGCAGAAACGATGATGGGAGCGTGTGTGATCTAACAAATCATATTGGTTCCATGCAAACCTTTTAGTGTTCAGAGGTTCTGCGGAGGCTGTAATGATTGCAGTTATCAGATCAACACAACAACCATTAGGCTTCTATTCCCTAAGAGTCAAAAACCACAGTGGACCTCTTTCGATGTTATATCATGTTGGGATCTACAAAGTTTCTCTTTCATGTGAAATACTTTAGTGAAAAGGAGGCTGAGCTTAGTTTTAACTGCTCTTAAAAGACTTACAGATTCTTACTGTAGAAAAACACAAACTTCACATCTGTTTCCCCCTTAGGACAAGTTAGTCAGTTTTTTATATATATATATATCTGGTCCTTTTCCTTCAGGGTGAGTGAGATTTATTGACCGCATCACCTACTAGAGTTTGCACTTCCCTTCTTTGCAACAGTTTCACCACCTTTAATCTTCAGAGAGTCTAACAGGTTCTTTATTCGTGAGCTAGCAGGTTCTGTTTTTTTCTTCCTGCGACTCTTCACCCCGGTTCCTGAGGCGACTGAAGGGGCGAGAAGAGCAGCGAACCCCCACGGCGAGACAGACCCATTCGACTGGGTAGAACCTGGCTCAAGATTTTCCTTCTGCTGGAATAGCCAAGCACTTTCTTGACAAAGCTTCACAAAACGTTCTAACTGCGCTGCATTAACGTTCTTGCTAACGTTTAGAGTGGCTTCAAATGGATTCTGTATGTGCAAAGCTGCTGCCTCCGGTTTGGACTGCTCCTTTCCCTGGTGAAAGAGATAAAAGCAGAATATTTCATATTTTAGGGTCTTAAAGATGGTAACTAAACAGTTTATTTTGGAATCTTACATTTAAAGGGATAGTCCACATAAATATTAACATTATAGCAGACGTTTCAACAGCATTCAGACTATTGTTTTGTTTAATGTCAAGGTATTATTTTTTGCCTATATATACACCCTTTTTATGACTTTCAAAAGTACTAGTAGCCTTTGAATCTCCAAGTTTAGTAATTTAACAGCAAAAAAAGTAATTTTTACCACATCATTTTCATTAATTTGCAGTGAAAATATTTACACAATTTAGAAAAAAAAGTTAATTTTTATTTAATCAAATATACTCAAATGTGTTCACTGCAGTGCCAGACACTATCTTGGATTGACTACAAATAAACACTGCCCTCTGGTGGCCATTTGTGATACTTCTAATAAGGCCACGAGCGTTGTCCTCTGGGAGTTTGCGCATGCATGCACGTGTCATCAGTGGATGACTCACCTTCCTAATATTGATCGATGCCTTGTTGAAGGGGAAATTGCCATAAAACTCGAAGAATTCCTGCAACAGTTTTTCTGTGCAAGACAAAAATAAAATCACCAAAAATACCAAAGGAAAAATAAACAGCATTGCTATTACCAATCAGTAAAATAAACACATTTATAAAAGCATCCTTCCAAGGGTGAAAACAGAAAGCCTTTCATTATGTTTGTGCAAATAATAAAAACAATCCATGTGCCCCACTTACCTAACGTGTCTGTGTTCTTCTGCAGTGCAATCTTGCTAAGGTCACTGACAATAGTGCAGTCATTGCCCTCAATGACACACTTATCCGACGGTCCTACAAAGAGCGCGCGCGCACACACACAGACACACAAAACATAAATTTAATGTAAGTGTCCTTCCACAGAAATGGATTCTGCATCACTATTGTGGCATCCGTGTTCTTGACCCTGGCAGATGAGAAACAATAATTGTGTGCAGACAGTTGACTCAGAGGAAAGCCATATAAGCGTGATGTATGCCGAGTTATTATACTCAGGGTCACAGACAATGAGAAAGCAGTCTCTCATAAGAGCACTACTCTTTTAGTCACCATAATTAACTGTCCGATTATCATGGTCCAGTTACACAATATCATATTTTTTTTTAAAGTTAATTAAAATAAACAGCGAGGGAAAAACAACTTGTATATTTTGTGACATTTCTATTAACCTGGCAAGAATGTGTTTATTACTCAGGATGTGTGAATGTATTTAGCAAATTCTAAGTATTAATGTACCATTATGCCATTTTGTTTTATATTTATGGTTATATTTATTTGTTCAAATTTCTGCCTCTTAAACTCATCATAGCTAGATTTATAAAAATTAGAAACAATTACATTAACAACAACTTTTTAAAAAATAAAAACACATTGTTGTATTATACCACAAACCTATAACTCTTTAACGCACACTGTTGTAATTATACAACAGTATTCTTTCTTTGACCACATTTTCACAACAGATAATATTTTTCATTCTTGTAATGCTATTGGATGGGTATATTTGAAAAAAATATATATATACATAAACAGAAAGGTGCTGAACTAAATCATTCACAGGTTTAAACAGCTTATTTGTTACAATTTTGGGTAATTATGTATATATTTATTTTGCAAATTATATATAATTACCAAACAACATATTTCTTTAATAAATGGAATGTACTGAGCAGCAACAAATAAACCTATGTGGTATTTTTTTCAATTTATAAAATATGCTGCATTGATAAACGGGTGATACAAGTCATAAATGTCATGAATCATTGATGCTGGATTGCATGTACAGTATATTATGGTGCATCGATGGATTTGCTCTTCAGTGTTTGGACTCTCAGGTGTAAAAATTAAACCAAACTGAACTGAACTAAACCTAAACTCTGAGAAAACTGGACTGACACGGTTTCAGTTTACTACAATCTTTCATGTTAAGCTGCTTTGACACAATATACATTTTAAAAGTGCTACAGAAATAAAGATGAATCAGTCACATGACAAACAAAATATGTACACTAGCAACTCTTAACTCACTGTTCTCTATACAAGTAAAAAATATACAGTGTAAGTCAGACCTATAAGCCCCCTTTCAATTATTATTATTTTTTTTTTCTTTTTTAAAGTATTTCCCAATTCATGTTAAACAGAGCAAGGAAATTTTCACACTATGTCTGATAATATTTTTTCTTCTGGAGAAAGTCGTATTTGTTTATTTCAGCTAGAATAAAAGCAGTTTTTTAGATAAAAAAAACAGTTTAAGGTCAATGTTATTAGCCCCTTTAATCTATTTTTTCAATAGTCTACAGAACAATCCATCATTATACAATAACTTGTCTAATTACCCTAACTTGCCTAGTTCAGCTAATTAAGCTAGTTAAGCCTTTAAATGTCACGTTAAGCTGTAGAGAAGTGTCTTAAAAAACATCTCGTAAAATAATGTTTACTGTCATCATGAAAAATATAAAAGTAGTCAGTTATTAGAGATGAGTTATTAAAACTATTATGTTTAGAAATGTGTTGAAAAAAATCTCTGTTAAACAAAAAATTGAAAAAATAAAATAAATAACGGGGGCTAATAATTCTGACTACAATTGTATATCTATTCTTCAGTTTTGGATTGATTTCTGATTGTTTATCTTTTAATTCTCAAATTTCAGCTTCTCTGAATCTGACCAGTCACTGCTATAAAAGTACAACTGTATTATACCTGCTAGTTCTTTCAGACGGTCCAGTGTGGGCAGCATGGCAGGACTCCTCTGCTGTAGAAAGAACACTACCATGACTGTTAACGAGAAGTTGGTTATCCATGCTCCAGGTATACTGCTTGTGATGCTATGAGCCCGAGCCCAGCACCGCACACTAAAAACCAGATGCCGAACACGAGGGTCCAGATGCCCATATAGAAAAAGCAGCTCTGAACTTTTCATCGCCACCCTGCATATGAGAGAAACAAAACCCAATATAATTAGTCCAAAACCCCCATCCCACCATTACAGTTTCACAGAGGTTATTCACGGAGAAATTATTATAATCTTTTTAGTGTCAGTTTAAGTTGGTACTTTCTTTTTTAACCAAAAATAGAACACGAGTATTTTTTACAATTATTACATTTTAAGAAACTTTTACTACGGAAACCCACTAGGGGCACACAGATCAGCTTTATCCCTTTAACTGGCCCTTTAACTAAAAAAAAAAACAAAAAAAAAAAAAAACAACTAATGTCGCTATTTAACACACTCAATGTATTTTTTTCAACACATCCCATAATTTCTGAAATATGAACCTTTACCAAATGGTATGTCGGTTTATAGTAAAAGTACTGGGATGAATACATATACTATGAAAATCTGAAAATATCAAGTTTAACACCAATTTATTTTAAAATATATTCAAAATAAAACATTTTTGCATACTAAATCATCTTTTTTTTTAAGTATGCAATAAAATATTTCAGCTTCTCATTTAACATGTTTTCTTGTTTTTTACAATAAAACCAAAGCATAGTAGTGCAACAGGATTATGTTTGCTTGATTTTTTTGTAAACTAACAATGCTGTGTGTGTAAAGTTATTTAAAACAGACTTTACCAGTCATTTAATATATATTTGATTACTAGCTAAACATTAAGAAGGTTATTTAGCTAAAACCTAGTCCATGGCGATTCATATAATTAAACCAACAATCCTATGCACCAAGTACAGCAGTTTCAGCTTAAAATCATGTACGTTTTGAAATGCTTAATGATAAGTAAATTTACAGAAATAAAATGTAACAAATATTTTACCTGTATGTGCTATTTTGAATGGTGTCATCCACTCTACAGTGAGTTGGAGTCTCAATTTGGCCACAACTTTCTCTGTTTTAGTAAATAGATTTTTACTAACAAATCTTTTTTTAACAGCCTAGCCTTTAAAATAAAACATTTGTTAATTTTGACAGCAATTTTTGATTTAGTTTTAGTCTTTTGACTAAAATTCCATTTTAGTTTTAGTCATACTTTAGTGTTCTAAATCATTTTAGTTTTAGTCGACTAAATTTCATAAGGTTTTAGTCGACCATCTACTCTACTCTTATAAAGATGTAATCGCATCCAGTGTCAATTGTGGATCAGTTACTTTTCAATTGTGTGTGTGCCTCATGCATCTCACACCAAGATTAATTCTGATAGGAAAATTTACAAAAAAACGTCCCCAATCACATTCTTGTATCATTTTTATTAGTCAACGAAAAGGTCAGTATATTTTAATATAGTTGTAGTCATCATCACTTAATTTTTATTTAGTTATCGTCCAGTTTTCATTGATAGAAACTTTTGTCACAAAAATTACGACGAAACTTTTTCGTCAACGAAATTAACACAGTTTGACATATTTTGGGAAAGGGTCTTTAAACATTTAAAAAATCCAACAATAGACTCCAGGCAAATTTACTACCCTTTTGTTGTGTTGGGGGGTGTTTTTGCCCCATTGACTTACGTTATAATGACATTTTTGGATTGCAAATCCATGACACCATATAAGCATGTAGTTGGTTGTCCCTGTTGAGAAGAGGTAAATTTACTCATTTGTACATTTTATCAGAAGTTGCAGTGCAAAAAAAAAAAAAAGCTTTTTTTCTGGATAAAAATTATATGGTTATATGGAGCATAGTGTCCATATAAAAGACAGAAACTTTTTTTGCACATGCCTGTCTAAAAAGTTAATTTTGCCAACTGATGATCGAAAGTAAAAATAAAAACTTCTACCCCCTCCCAAGAGGGAAAAATACCAACAATCAAGAATGCATGATTATTATGTGTCATCGCTTTGTAATCAAAAATGTGATTATAATTAAAGTTAGATGGGCAAATACAGCCTTGAACATAAAAAAAAGGTAGTCAATTTGAACAGTACACAAGGGTCAAAGTTGATCTGTGTGCCCGTATGGTGTTTTTTTAACAAGTGTAAAAATGTGTAAAAACAAAGATTAACTTGCATATAAAAACCCTTTTTATCAACTTCCTATAAGTAATTGCATTTCATGTTTAGCAGGCTGCATTCATTAGTCATTCTACTTTGTTCACACATCCTTTAAAATAAATGCTTCAAAGACTACAACGCTGTGGGTTTCTCATTATGCACATATGCTTGCATACTGCATACATCTGGGAATATCCCTCCCCTTCAACAGGGGACCCAGAATAACAAAAAAAGCTGAGCAAGTTTCACTGCAGTACTGGAGTGTCACATTCTAAAAGGAAGCGTCAGAGTGACCTTTGTTTTAGGGAAGTGTAAATGGGACTGAGAAAACAAGCTGACAGCCCACACAACACTTTTTACAGAGATAAACTATGGCTTGCCTTCTTAGCTTCTGACAGTGTATTATTTCAAGATGGAGTTTGTGTATATGTGGATTATGTGATAACATTATTAAGAGAACGTTACTTGTTGTTGGCTGTAAGATCGCACTGAAAGCCAGAAGGCTGATGAGCAAAGCGGACAATAGGACATCGTGCTTGGAGAATGTTCTGGACTCCCACACATCCAGGGCCAAACTGGTCCACACATTTTCCAACGACTGAGAGGATACTCTGTGTCACAGCCCGCTCTGATGGCCCTGTCTTCACCTGGTACTCCAGAGACAGTCCCGAGCCCTGTTTTAAACATGGCTGAACAATTAATGGACTTGGGGAAAAAAAGGTTAAAAAAATTTAAATCAAACGCAATCTATTGTCATTACAAATGTAATGCTTAAAGGAATGTTTTAAAGGAGAATTCATTATTCAGTTATATAATTTTAAGACTAATGCATGAAAAAAAAAAAAACTTCATATGAACTACAATACAAACAACAATTCAACTCTGACCATTAATTAAATACAAACCATTAATTAAATACTAACGCCCGATTCACTGGAGGCTTCAACGTTAACGCATGACTGAGGGCGTGTCTGAAGTTGGGGCTGACGCGATCATCATAGCAGCGCCAGCCAATGAAATTAGTCCACAATCGGCTACAGTCTGAGCTGGGTATTTGCATAAAGCAATCTGATTGGCTGATGATTCCGTTGGCATTTGAAAAGTTGAGAAATTCCCAACTTTGGCAGCAAACAACGCTGCTGAAGCTGTGCCGACGGACCAGTTCTGAATCAGTTTTTAAAAAATAAATACATTTCTGATAAAAGACAAACATAAATCATCAAGAAAGTGTAAATGTATATATATAATATTGGTCGATATATAATATTGGCTGCGATGAAGTAATCAACCAGTTTGAAGATGGAAGTGAAAATTGGGCTTGGTGTCAATTTAGAGGTGGGTAAAAAAAAAAGATGGCAGCTTATATGTTTAATTATGATATATGAGATTTGCCAAAACTTAACTTGCAATAACTCAAAATGTATTACAAAAATCTCAATCTCTGAAAAAAACTAATTTAGTTTTTGACGACTCTGAAACTGTTTCAAATTTAACAACTTATCTTGGAGGCAGATTATATTATCTTGGAAATAAACTATATGGTACCTTAAGATAAAAATGTGCTATATTAAAAAGGTTACAATTACCTTATTATTCCAATCTCTGTGTATAGAAAAAATCATAATAATGCTACCTTATTTCTAAAATAACTTTTTAAATCATAATAATGCTGGCTTATTTCTAAAATACTATATATGCTAATCTAATTTAGCTCCAAATATCAGATGAAATGAAATTTTGCCCTCATCTACAAAATTTGTTCATAAGATTTAATCATTAAATATAACTGCATAGACTTCTGTACTTCAGTTTGCATCATTTATATTTTTGTCTTTATTTTGAAAAAAGTAAACTAACGTAATGCTCATTTTATTTGGGGAAATTTCTCAAATTTGGCTAATTTATTGTTAAATTACTCTTTTAAAATGTACATTAAAAGATAGTTCACAGAAAAATGCAAAAATACAGGTAAAAAGGGGGTCTAAAACATTTTCAACTTCCAACATCTTTCTCACTTAGACATGCATTTGTGGTTGAATGCTTTTAACTAGACACAGTCTACTTGGTCTACTGATCTAATTCTTAAGCATTACAGAATGTCTTTTTAAGTATGCTAACCACAAAGTATTTAAGCTATGCTGTCTGTAATTATTTGTTTGGTTTGCAGGCAAAAAAAGTTAATATGAAAAGCCAAATGTAACAATTCCAAAGTGTTCAGAATTGTTTTGCAGCTATCAGAGAAAAAAGGTGCTGCTCTTCATGTCATTTTCAATAATCTCCTCATATATTCATAAGTAAATGTAATTATCTAATTTCAAAAGTTTAGAAAGAACAAAAACAAAACACACATACAACTGACTCTGCCCTCGAAAATTTGAGAAAGGTTACCAAGTGGTCGAAAGAGAGGGATTCAAACTAGGGCTAGGCGATATGACAAAAATGCAATCTCAATAATTATTTTCCATATTGAATGATAATGATATACATTTTGATATCAGTTGTTAATGTTTCCAGATTTAAATGAGTATTCCCAACAATGACTGAAGCCACAAAAATTAAAGGGTCCATTAAATGGCTTAACATATTTTTGGCTGATAAATTTTCAATAAATCTCTAATATCAACACACTTTTAGATTCCCACTGTTGCATATTTCTGCTGTGTGATTGGCTCTTAGATCAATATAGAGTGAAAAAAGTCCTGAGCTTTTTATTGTTATTGACATAAATTTTATTGCGATTCGATATAATACCGTTTATTGGTCCAGTCCTATTTCAATCACCAAGCGTGAACGAGTTTGTGGCTCCAAAACTAACTCTTAATAACAGATGTAACACTAAAGAAGATGTTTCGATGAAACACTCTTAACATACATACATACATACATATATATATATAGTGTTCCACGGAAGAAAGAAATTCAAACAGGTTAAAAAATTACATTCAATCAATAATGACAGAATTTTTCATTTTGATTGAATATACAGGTTTAGATTATTCTACCCATTCACTGCACTCACCTTTTTCTGGCTTCGTGCATATATGCCGTCTAGATCCAGAATCATGTCAACATCACAGCCAAGTTTGCCGAAGCTGTTTACAGTAGAACCAAAAGGCCTAATGATGCATTCCGGGAAGTATGCTCCAGCTATGTCTCCAAGCAGAGAACAGACAAGGAAGCGCAGACTTATGTTTTCCTCTGTAAGCTGTAAAGTCTCTGTCAAACATTGAAGCTGCTCATCTACCTGTGGAAATAAATGAGAAGACGATTACTCTCCGCAATACTGAAACTTTTAACTATCACATGTAAAACAAACTAAGAGAAATGTAATAAATAAACGCTAAACACAATTATAAAGTTTGTCTGGCTTTAATCTGAGATGCTGCCATATCCCTGAGAGCTTTGATGGAATACATTTCAGTTTTGGGGTGAAAAGAAAAACAACTTTTATCAGGAAAGACTTACACTATGCTTTTGCAAGAGCAGATTGGTAATGTCACCGATGTTCGGAGGGGATTGCTCCTTGAAATTTGGCGTGGGATAGTTGCTTGACTGAATGCCTGGCCATTTCAGTGACAGCAGCCGGGATTTAAAAGGCACTGCAGCTTCATGATCAACAGCTGGTATACCTGTGCTCTCCTTCAAGGAGGCTATGCTCTCTTTATTGGAGAATTCAACTACCGCATACGCACCCTAAAAAACAAAGCAGATTAAAAACAACAGTTCACAACATCACTCAGCTGAATTGAGATAAAATGACTTGCAATAGCTCTGCCACACTTACAAAACTGTTGTAGAAGAAATGCTTGTTGACTGTCCCATGCTTGGAGAAGAAATCTAAAAACTTCTTTTCGCTGAATTTAGCAGGACAGCTGATTAAAACAGATCTTTCAGCTTGTTCTCGTCGCTCCTCTTGGATTGCTTGAAATGTTTTACTCTTCTTCGCTTTTGAGATAAAAACGCAAAGACTTGGTGTTTGGTCATCCAAATGTCAACTACATCGCTATTTACACCATTAGATGACAACTTTGTAGTTATTTTGTAAATACTATGACAACGCGAATACATTTTGCAGCTGTCAAGTCTATTTTAAAGTCAGTTAGTAAATGCCATGCTTACAGATCTACAAGAATAAAAATGTTACCGAAGTCTGCGGTCTTGGTCCCGGTCGGGGTTTTGATTGCTGGTATAGTTGACGTACATCTTCTTTGCGTTTGAGGTTCCAATCCGAGACAAAATCTATCAAGACCTCCTAAACTTCTAAAATGTAACCTACACACGCCGAGGGAGGCCGCCATTGTTGATTTGAGACGGGCGCAAGCGCAGAAGTTGGCTCTACGGTGGCTGCGATTGGACATACCGTGTCGAACGCCAAAATTGAATTTCAGTTTTTTACAATGGCTATGACACTTTTTTCAATACATTTAACAAGTTTCCTAAACTTTTAACACGGTTAGTACAACATCCGTCTTAGTGGGCTATACAATTAACACATTTTGCTTTGACACAAAATGCATCCAGTTAACACAAATTTAAAATGCTTGAACTTATTTTACACACAAGCACAACCAAGAGCAAAACAATGTCATTTTACAGTTAAATTTACAAATGCTTTAACACAGTATGTCAGAACAGATAACACCATGTTCTAAACAAAACTTATATAGGCTAAAGCCAAAGTAAACAGTATATCACATACATATCACAGCAGATTCCCATATAGGAAGCACACTCATATGTTGAGGTTTTTCAAATCACATGATCATACTGTATGTTCTAAAAGTGGACTCATGAGGTTTTTAAAAAGAAACAGTAAGCACATTACAGAACTTCGTCACCAATACGTCGAGGTAAGGTTATGCAATACAGTGATTACTTTACTATACACAGTGTGTTTTGCAGTAAACTACTCAATAAACCTGGCGTTCAATACATAATTATACAGTACAGTAAAGCATGTACACTGTGTCTAATTACTTCTAGAGAGTCATGGAGTTGGAGGTCAATCAAGTTCCACATGCAATTGTCTATGCTGACAAGGCTGGCTTTAACTTGGCGAGAAGGCATCGCCGTAGGAGAAACATAATAGGCGAAAGGGCCACCGTTACCATGCCGGGCCAGAGAAGAAGTCTGGCAAATGCAGAAGACTAGTCAGAATAGAAAGTTACTTTGTTTTTTTATTATTATTGAGTTGCTTTTTCTGTTTGTACATCTTGCAGTAATGTCCTTTTGCAAATAAAGTCTGTACTGCAGCAATTCTGTGTCTGTATTATTTTTTTACATAAAGTAAACTAAATTTTTTAAAGCTACTCTGGGATGGTCGTTCATTTTTTTTGTTATGAATTTCTGCAGCATAACAAAATGCATGCATTTACTGTACTAAACTCAACAACACAAAAATGTAGAGAGGCTTCAAGTTAAGGTTCCTCCTTACACTGGCTACCTGTTAAGTTTCGTATTGAATTTAAAATATTGCTTCTTACCTATAAAGCTTTAAATAATCTAGCTCCTGTCTATCTAATCAACCTTCTGTCTCGCTACAATCCAACCCACTCTTTAAGATCTTTAAACTCAGGGCTTCTGGCAATACCTAGAATAGCAAAGTCGAGTAAAGGGGGTCGAGCCTTCTCAGTTATGGCTCCTAAACTCTGGAATATCCTTCCTGATAAGGTCCGAGGCTCAGGCACACTCTCGCAGTTCAAAACTAGATTGAAGACCTATCTGTTTAGTAAAGCACACACAATGCATCACTTAGCGGTATGGTGAAGTTTTTTCCTCGCCTCTGTTGCCACTAGCTTGCATGGTTTGGGATATGTAGGGCTGCGCATCAATGGATTTACTCTTTATTGTTTGAACTCTCAATAGTGATTATTAAACCACACTGGACTTAGCTAAACTAAACTGAATTTAATTTTTTTGAACAATCTTTTTATTGAGATGTAATAAAAATATGACAATGTAACATCACAATCATATTTTACATCTTTCTTTTCAATTTAGAGGAAAAAAATAAAACAATAAAATAAAAAATAAATAATAAAAAGCATACAACAAAAAAAAAGCATAAAAAAGGAATAAAAAGGAAATGAGAAAGAGAAAAAAAGGGGTGGGGGGCACAGGGTGTTTGAGTTAGTAACAGATTATTCTAGATACAACAATTGGAAGAAGTTGTTGAAAATACAAATAATCTATAGAAGGCATGAACCAGATCATCAGATGGTTTGTTTAAATAATTCTTTGGAAATAGGGGGAATATTTAGATATGCTTAGTCAATGTCAGTTTATTTCGTCTTTTCCTGTTTCATTTAATAAATTTCTGAAATTTGAATTTGAAATAAGATATATAAAGGGTGCCCACATTTTCTCAAAAACAGTAAGTTTGCCTTTTAACATGTATGAAATCTTTTCCATAGCTAAACAGAAGGACATATTATTGATCCACTGTACAATAGATGGCCTTTCCATTTTCCTCCAGTACAAAGCTATTAGACGTTTTGCTTGGAGTATACTTATATCGATAAGTTTACGGGTGCTGCTGTGGCAATCAATATTTTCATAAATAATTCCCAAAATAAACATTTCCGGTTTCATGGGCAGTTTTACAGATACCATTTCAAAAATAAAACTAGCCACCTCTTTCCAAAATTCCTGTACCTTTGGGCAATCCCACATACAGTGTAAAAGTGTACCTTTTTCAACTGAGCATTTAATGCATGTGTCTGGGATACTTTGGTTAATTTTATTTAACCTGACTGGAGTGATATATGTTCTCATATTCCAGTTGTACAGTATTAATTTAAGATTACTATTAAATGTTAATGTTTGAGCTTTTGTACATATTTCCTCCCATTCATCCAGTGGAATATTTACATTTAATTCTTCTCTCCAGGAAGCCAATTTAAATTCTGATGATTCTTTCGAGCATGATTCTAACATCTTATAGAACATAGATACTAAACCTTTTGATTGAGCAGTTTTTGATAACAGGTCTTCAAGAGGTGTTTTGTTAGGTTTTGTAAGCTTTGCACCTTGATGAGAGGAAATATAGCTCCTTTACTGAAGGAATTTAAAGAAATGTTTTTTGGGAATATCAAATTGTGTTACAATTTCTGCAAAAGACTTTAGATCGTTTTCTTTATATAAATCTTCAATTTTTTGCAGCCCTTTGTCAAACCACATTTTAAACCCTGGGTCAGATCTAGCTGGTTTAAAACACTTGTTTCCCCATATTGGAGTGAGGCATGATAAGGTATTGCACTGACCTACATACTTATTAACATCATACTAGACATTAATTGTATTAATTAGAATAGGGTTAGAAGATATAATATTTTTGTCTTTTCTGAGAGATTTAATGTCTGCTGAGTAAAGATAGAGATAAAAGGGTAATTTAGATTTTATAAAAGAGGATTCAATATCCATCCAAGGAGTAGAAGATTTAGAGGAGAAATAGTATAAAGTAGATCGTAACTGTGTTGCCCAGTAGTACCATTGTAGATTGGGAAAGTGGAGACCACCTTTATTATAAGGTAAGTATAAAAGTGATAACCTTATACGAGCTCTTTTATTGTTCCAGATGAAATCCGTAAATAATTTCCGAAGGGTTGTAAAAAAAAGAAGACGGAGGACTGAGAGGGATATTTTGAAACAAATATAATAACTTAGGTTGTATGCTCATTTTTATAATGTTTATACGTCCAATTAGCGAGATAGGAAGCTTTTTCCATCTTTCAATAAGTTTAGAAATGGTGTCCAAAAGGGGTTGGTAATTAGTCAAAGATATATTATCTATGTTAGCCATTATTTTAATTCCTAAATAAGTAAAAGAATCTACCACATTAAATTGTGTCACGGCTGGGATATGATTATCATCTTTGTTTAGCAAAAGAATACAAGATTTAGATTGGTTTATTTTGTAACCAGAAAACTGACCAAAGTCAGTAAGAAGTTGTATTAGAGAGGGAACCGAATCGGACAGATTTGTCAGGTATAAAATTACATCATCTGCATACAACGAAATGTTCAAATCTATAGTGTCTAGTTTGATGCCAAGTATATTGCCATGGCACCTTATTGCGATGGCCAGTGGTTCGATTGCTAAGATAAAAAGAAGGGGTGAAAGGGGGCACCCCTGACGAGTACCCCTTTGAATGTTAAAAGGTTTAGAGGCAATATTATTAGTGAGCACTTCAGCCGTAGGATGCATATAGAGCAACTTAATCCATTGACAAAAATTATAACCAAGTCCAAATCTTTTAAGGACCTCAAATAGATACGGCCACTCTACCCTGTCAAAAGCCTTATCAGCATCTAAGGACAGAATGGCCGTATCGCAAGCCCCCTTTTTAAGATGCAAAACATTAAGCAAAGTTCTGACGTTGTGAAAACCTTGCCTGCCCTTGATGAATCCTTTTTGGTCTCTATGTATTATTTCAGGTAGAAGTATCTCCAACCTCCTTGCTATAATTTTACTTAGTATTTTGACATCTGTATTAAGTAATGAAATTGGACGAAATGAGTCACATTTTGTAATTAATTTATTAGGTTTAGGTATTAGCGTAATGAGAGCATGTCTTAAAGATTCTGGGACTAAACTGAATTTAAACTTTAAAATCTGAACTACACTGTTTAAATCTACTATAATCTTCTATGTGAAGCTGCTTTGACAAAATCTACATTGTAAAAGCGCTATACAAATAAAAATGAATTGAAAATTGATTTGAACTTAACCAATACACAAGGTAAAGCAGCCACTTATGGCCCCAGCGAATTAGGGGCCCCAACCTATGTCAGGATGCATATTAATCATATCTCTTTTAATAAATTCTCTTTTATATGCTGTAAAATCTGCTTATAACCTTTAAGATTTTAACATTATTACTTCTTTTCCAAACCAGGGGACCTCATGAACAATGGAATATGCAAATTTTAAAAACACAAATATGGCTAATTAACTGTACATACTTTGTTCTAATAAATTACTTGTTATTTATTTGCAAATTTATTGTATTTCATTTAACATTAAGAAGATAAAGAATGCAGTGCAATATAAATATTTTTAACATGCAGATTTTATTTACAAAAAATAAATAAATAAATAAAACAATATCTATAAAGAGGAAAAAAAGCTTGGAGCTTCATTACTAGGGCCCCCCAAATCACTAAAGCCAGCTACTGCTTATTAACCAAATGTATTATTATGGCAGCTTTGGCATTCCATAGCCTACTACACTAAGGCGCCGTTTACTTTCGGGGAAAAACTGAACTGTCAATCTGCAGCCTGGATATCCCCCAATTTGAAAACAGCGTTTAGATATTTTGATACACTTAAGACATACGAATATTTACAATCTTGTCACTATTCGTTATCTGGATTCCCTGACACTTTCAACAAGTTTAGAAGTTTGGAAATCT